GAAAAATTTAAGGGGGTCTGAATACTTTCCGTACCCACTGTATATCTAACAGTTCAGTCGGGTGCCCTATACCATGCTTGTATGGTATTTATGATTTCGCCTACCTCAACGCGACCTTGGAATGAGAGAAAGTAGACTGAGAGCTATGAAAAACTATGAAGAAGTTATTTGCTACATACATTAATTTGCTAGGTTTCCTGCAACAGCCCTCCTGTCTATGGTTGTCATTGCAAAAGGATTCTACCAAATGACCTATAACTAAAGTGTTTTGGTTATTAGATTTGTAGGCAATTTTCATTTCACTATATTTAAACACATAAAAACTAGCTCACAAAAGCTGCTTTGTATCACTTTTAATATAACTGATAAGTATTTTTTGTGGTCTCTGTCCTTGGTTTCCACTACCAGCCTGTTAAGAGTTCAAAAAGGCTAAATGGCTATGAAATTCCTCTTATTAACTTTTCAGCTGTAGTCCACATTTTGATTTCAGCACAGTGAACCCAAAAGGACTTGGCGGGGTTTATTCAGTCATAATATTTTATGTCACAATGCATTATTCATAAAGAAATCTTATTCTGTCTTAAAATATGGGAAATGCCTTTAAAGAAGCACCCTCTCAATTGGCTGGTAATGATGAAATATGAAATTCTGGGCTGTGTGTCAGACCCAGTTTGGGGTGTGCTCATCTCGTTTAACAATTTCTTATGTACTCAGAGCTTTGGCACGGCATCATTTAACTGTGACCCTGCTTTTGACCACCATTCATTCATCTGCTTCTGGCTTTTTTTGATTTTTACCTTGTCTTGTTCTTCCTTTCTCCTGCTCCCCTTCCCTCCTCCACGTTCTTTACAGGTGTGAGTTTGGGTAGTGAAGTCAAAGGAGCTTCTGGTCTGCATCTGTTGTTAGGTGTGTAAACCCTGCACTTAGCTATTATCCCTTTTCTTATTGCTGCTGTTGCTACAATACTGGTAGGGTTGTGGATTTCTGCTTGTGGTACTGAGGTAATGGTTCAGCTCTAAAGGCGGGAACAGGCACTACCACATTGGTGTCCAGGTTGCAGACCAGCAATAATAATAATAATAATAGAAAAGTGTTAAATAAGAGCAATAACTCAGTATTTTAAATTTCTGATCTGGAAAGCTGTAAAATTCAGATCTACTGTGTTTGCCCTTTAGTTTGTTCTCCTCATCCTTTTTGACTTTCTTTAACCAGAATGTCCTTGACCTTACTTTGTCCCAGCTCTGTGTTCTTAACCTCCTTTGACTTCCACCCTCTCTCTCCTGGTCTGTAAGGGCTGCTTTCTTTAATTACACTCACATCACTAACCTTTAAGCTGATACCTTTCTGCCTTTAATTTATGAGAGTCAGATGTTTGGGAAATGCACACAAAATAAAAGTTGATAATACTTGACATATGCAAATGTTCAATGTATTTTTTATTAAATGATGCCAAATTGTGGTCATAATAATATAATTGTTATAGTATCGCCTTAACTACATTATCAGGTCATCTAGACCTAATCTGTGTAGAGATTTGTCAGGCCACACTAGAAAACACATCTTCTGTGAATCTGAAAAACAGCAAGAAATGTCTCTGGCTCTTTCGCTTCATTCTTAATCGTTCATGTTCTGAATAGTGTAGCTACAGTAAGCAGACCTTTGGCAATAACAGCATTTTAATTCATATCATGAAACTCCAAGTTGGGCACTTCAAACAAAGCACCTATGGCTTTCTAATCATAGACATGCTTTAATGATATTGATTGGCATTATTGTCTCCTGTAAGCTTGTTTATATTCAGAACACAGTCACTGATGCATTTTCTTTAGTAACCATATGTTGTGTTATTTTGTGTTATGTCTCCTTTGATAGAAACCTCAGGCGGTCCTTCACTAAAAGCCACAGATTCTTCTGCTGCCACCACACATGATGTCAGTGACAAGCAATACAAAAAGGCAAGTTTACAGAACCCGCTGACACTTCTCAGCTTTGTCCTCTCTACTCAGCCATAGCTCGATCTCACTTTGCTACAGCCTGCAGCTTGGCTACGTTTCACATCAGTGGCATTGATTGAATCAAAAGTCACTCAAAGAAATTTATGCATGAAAGTGTACATGCAAAAATACTTGAAGGGAGGCAGAAGCACTTTTGACCATCATGCAGAGCACACTGTTTTGATTCAATCTGTTTTACTAAAGTTTCATGTTTGCTGCCAGCCTATAGTTGACAAAAGCTTTTGAGGCCTTGTTGCAGTTTTATGGTAAGAAACGGTCTCTATTTTGTGACAGTAACAGTATGATTAAAGATATGGTTAGTTGTCTAAACCCTTGGTGCAGGTCTTACGTCACAGCATTCTACGTGTGTGTGTGTGTGTGTGTGTGTGTGTGTGTGTGTGTGTGGTATTGCCTAATAATGTATACGGTTTACCGTTAACAGAGGTACTGTGTTCTTACTGTATGGCATTTTGATGTTTAGCATCGCTTCAATTCCCTTTACTGCTTGTCATTCCTGTTTTTCCAGAACATTAATGGAGGCCATTCCCTCTTTAAAGTTGTCCTTTCGCTTTCTTGATCATTTTGTGTTTTGTCCTTTTCCACACAGTAACTAGTTTCAGTGTTCCTCTCTTTTATTTTTTGTGAAACGTATGTTTTCATGTGTTTTCTGACATAGAGTTAAGGTTTGAAAACAATGAGAGTATCACATAAAGGTTGGAAAGACTACTTTAAGGGGAGCTGCATTTAAAAAAAAAAAAAATTGGATGGTAGCTTTGTTCTCCTGTACCCTGCTATACTTTTTGTCTACCGTCAGGATCTCCAACATGAACACATATATCACATCAAAACTCATACAAATTGATGTTTTACTTCAAATTACATTTAACATCTATGTGCATTCACAAAGCATAGAAGCTAAACCCAGCATAAAACAGCACAACTATGTCATGTTGGGGACCCCTGGACCGAAAGCAGATGTCGCTTGCTCTGTGCTTCACCCTGGATAAACCAATATCCCAGTGTTTGCTTTGCTTATTTAATCATCACCATCATCAGACCAATTACATTCAGAACATTCTGTTGTAGCACATTGAAACATTGTGGTCTGTTACAGTAAACCTGATTTTCTTGTAGTGTAATCTGCCAAGTATAAGTTTGAGAATCAATTATAGTGTAGTCTGAATCATGGTGAGCATACAGTCACTAATCTGCAGTGGTTCATGATGGCAAGGAAAGAGAAAAGTCACTGTTGTTGCCACCTGCTGAGAGGTGCTGGTTGTGGTATTAGTCACCTCTTCTGCCTTCAGTCTGGCAAAGTTTGGCATCTCCCTTCTGTGGTTGAGAGAGACTGGCTTTGTTGGGTCACACTGATGATGGTGGCAAGATTACTAAAGCCAAAGACTTGACTCTTTTAAACTCGAGCCTTGACTGAATCGTGCTTCTCCAGCCTGAACAGCATCAATGCTGGTGGCTGAGACATGAGCCAAGTTTCCTCTGTTGTAGCAGTGTGTTTGGAAGCAGCATTGGCCTATACGGCTGACCAGTCCAGTAGCTGGTTGTTGTGTTTTTTGCTGCTCCTACCTCTCTCTCATTATGACATACCCCAGCAGGGTCTGCTTGGCGAGCTCATTCTTATTCAGCAGCAGATCCAGCAGCACGAGGAAGAGGTCCGTCGGGCTGCTGAAGCCAATAGTGCGCGTCTCCCAGCACCAGAGCCTGCTCCCAGTCCACCTCAGCAAACACGCAAGGTGAAGGTCCCACCCTATTTAGATCCGGCCTATCCCACCAGCAGCTCCTAAAAGATCACAGTTGCAGAGTAGGAACAGAATATATATTCTGGGACAGTTTACCTCATTTCAGAAACCATGATAAAACATTTGAGTAAGTTAACATCAGGCTGAAAAGTGTTGTGGTGGAATGTGATCACATGTGCTCTATTACCACACCCAACAGTGATGTCGCAGAAAATTTAAACCACTGGAAATGAGTAAAAACTATATGTGTGAGACCACTTTTGGAATGCTAAGGAACTCTCTTAATTACAGAAATTCACAGTATTTTAATACACTCGGTGTGTGTATTGCTTGAAGGTCATTTACAGCTCGCGTTTTGTCCTTGCTGTGTGATGGTGAAATAGCTTTTAATAGCCAAAGTAGTTGTGTTTGTCTGTTTTTGAAATTCCTTTTGTGCTGCCGCCAATCCCATACGTCCCTGTGTCTCCTGCTTTCAGTCCTGTCTCTCATCCTGACATGTTCCAGCTTTACATAATGCATAATCAAATGGGGTTTACCAACCTGTAATGACTAAATGATTTTGGGATTAAATTCAGATATGTTTTCTGGGGCTCATCTTGTGATTTGTGCCTTTTTATGAGTTATAGTTTGTTGATCTACTCAAAGCTGAGTAATTCCAGAAGTGAGTACGAGTCTGCCTGAAACCTGATTTTGTTCCTCTCTTTATGCATTAACTTGACTTTCAACTCTGGTTCTTTCTGTAATACAGCGTGCACGTAATGATCGTTGGTGATGCTGGTGGCACTTCATGCTTGTGTGCAAAGTGAGAGTAAGGTGAAGCCCTTATTTGCAAAACAAAAAAAGAAGCATTAACTGTTTGTTGGTGTTCTATTTTTGTTTTTCTACTTTAATGTTTAGTCATCAGACAAAGAAAAGACAGACCAGCTTCAAGAGGAACTGCTCCGTACCCAGGTACAGTAGACTTGGTGTTACTGTATTTTTTGTAAAATCTGTATTTTGGTGGAACAGAGGATTACATACTGGCCTTTTTTTCACATTGAAATAAAATGGTCAGCAAGGAAAATAGGTTAGATCTTTCTTAGACCTGCACCGACATTTGATTGCACTATATTGTTCATACAGCTCAAAAACTTGTAAAATCCCACTGCTGCACCAGTAGCTCAAATGCCACCACCTGATTTTTAGAAATAGTGTTTTAGATGCAATGTATGATTGTTGATTCTACTGTGCATCCCATAGCTCAAGTATCAGCGCATGCTGGAGAGGCTGGAGAAGGAGAATAAAGAGTTAAGGAAAGTGGTGCTACAAAAAGATGATAAGGGGATTCACCAAAGAAAAGTGAAGGTGGGTTGCATCTATGCAGTTTTATTCCACGAGGCTTAGTCTAATGATTGCCTTACTTACATATTGTGCAGACGGCGATATTTTCTCTGATGCTTTCTGTACCGTTGATGCTGCTCTGACCATTTGTTGTTTCCAGTATTAGTTTAATTATTCCTCTATTCCTTTAGTTATGCTGTGCTATAGGACCTTTCTGGATGAAGTGTCAAATAGTGTTTTTAAGATTTGTTTAAAGATAAATATTATGCCCTTTATGTTGGGATATAAACCTGTGTCCCCTCGTTGTTTTATGAGGTGGCTCAGTGACATGATTACCTCTCTCTGACTCCTATACATTTGTGAAAATAGCTGGGGCCCTTGCATTGACCATATCAGAAATTGAAGGATTCCTTTATAAGCTATATACTGCATTCTTTTTTTAAGACATATGGTAATTTTATTTCATTGAATCTATTCTCTTGAACTTGTGTCTATTTAAGCTGTTTAAGTACACCTGCGAGTGTGTCTTATTTTCATCTGAACAGTTTGGTCACCTTTATTAATGCATACCTGTTGCCAACCCACAGACCACTATGGACAACCTTGGACAATACTGACAATATGAACACTTCATTACAGGCACTGTCGACACTAAAGACGGTGCATTTTTTGCCTTGTTCGTGTGTATATGGGTGTTTAGGTACAGGGAGGGTGGGTTTGTCTGGTTTTTTTTATGTCTGCTTGTTGAAATATATTCAACATAAAATAATCTATACTATACTATACTCTATACTGAAGCATTAATGTTCATTTTTGTTTCTCTTCCTGTAGAAATCCCTTATTGACATGTATTCTGAAGTTCTGGACATCTTGTCTGACTATGATGCCAACTACAACACTCAAGACCACCTACCCAGAGTAAGGAGCAGTCACATTTAGATCCTTGTTCACTGGAAAATTTTACTTTCAAATAAGGGCTCTGTTGTTTTATTTCACTGAGTTGTTTGGTGTCATTGAAGGATTTATTTTGTGACCAGAATTTTGTGTCTGATTCTAGTATCCAAATACATTTTTTGTTTCAAAATAATTTTTTAATAGACCTAAGGTTTTCTCAAAATAAATTTGTAATATATGTTACTTGGACCCTGATCACTGATCTTTCCCACTTCTTTTTCCCTATTGCCTTTCAGGTGGTGGTGGTTGGGGATCAGAGTGCTGGAAAGACTAGTGTGCTGGAGATGATAGCCCAGGCCAGGATTTTTCCTAGGGGCTCAGGAGAGATGATGACACGTTCTCCTGTCAAGGTGTAGTGTCAGACTGGTTAATGTTTGTGCAGTCATCTTTTTTTATGCTGCAAAAGATGTACACATTTAACAACAATTGGTTTATTTTTAGAGCTGCTTTTGTTGTCCCTGAAATGGCCATGAAGTGGAATTTATTTATTGACTGTCATGCTGTGAAGAACCTCAGCTTTGAGTGTTTGTTCTGTTATACACTGAAGCTCTTGCAATGTTCATCCCCTTGTTACAGGTAACACTAAGTGAAGGTCCCCACCACGTGGCCATGTTCAAGGATAGTGGCCGAGAGTTTGACCTTAACAAGGAAGAAGATGTAAGGCACCAAGACATTCACTCCCTCTACCTAATAAGAATTTTAGCACCAAGTTATTTACCCTGTTTATGCCATTATGTCTGGCCTCTCCTGTCCTGCAGCTGGCTGCTTTGAGACGTGAGATTGAGCTGAGGATGAGGAAGAGTGTCAAAGAGGGACAGACAGTCAGCGCTGAGGTTGGATATAGTACATTCCTTTCAGATAGCTAAGAAAGCTAGTACTTGTTGATTTACATCTGTTTAACAGAACAGTGTTTCTTTTGTTGTGTCAGACAATATCCTTGAATGTCAAAGGCCCCGGCATCCAGAGGATGGTGCTTGTCGACTTACCAGGTGTCATCAGTGTGAGTGTGCATTCTTAAATTAATAAGGTTGGCAGTGTTCGAAAAACATTATTTTTCTTTTATAGACACGTAGTTTTTAATTCTTATTTTTGATTATAGCTATATGTATGCTTTTATTTTGGTCTTTATTGGAGGTTTTTCATCTGAGCCATAACATTTCTTGTACTGTTTGAGCTCTCTATATAATTTGTTAACATGTTCTGCACATGTTACATGTTTTTGAGCTCTTTTTTTTTCCTTATGTAAAATTGCTTTGGAAAAATCAAAGCCAATTGAACTAAGTTGTCTTCAAAGATACTCTAATAGCAATTTTGGTCTTTAAGATTTTGTAATGTGTGTCTTTCTCAGACTGTGACCACAGGCATGGCAACCGATACTAAGGAAACCATCTTCAGCATGAGCAAGGCGTACATGCAGAACCCCAATGCCATCATCCTCTGTATTCAGGGTGAGCCATGAGCTTACCTTTCCATGATCTCTCAGGGGACTGATCTTCAGGCCCCTACACTTAAGTCCCAGTGTTGTGTTCGTGAGCAAAGCAAATACCAGTGTTTTAATCACTTTTATGCTTTTTACTGTGCTTATTTTTTATTTTCTATACACCATTATGTCATCTTCTGTTACCTTCCTTGTGTCTGTTCAGATGGCAGTATAGATGCAGAGCGGAGCATTGTAACTGATTTAGTTAGCCAGATGGACCCCCAGGGGAAGAGGACCATCTTCGTCTTGACCAAAGTGGACTTGGCTGAGAAGAACCTGGCCAGCCCAAGCAGAGTAAGAATGATCACTTGTTCCACCATTGGGTTTATAATGCCCATGCAACAAAAATCATATTGTATACTGGCTATTTCTGTTTATATACATTTGATTATTGATGACCAAACAGGAACAGTGCCACAATTGAATTTTTCATTGTTGGTTAATACATTTTGATTCAGTCGTTTCATCATCCCTATTTGAACTGCTATAACAGAAACAGGGAGCAAAACTACGCCAACTAAAATTGCTTCAAGCCAGCGGCTGAAGTGTCAGCCCATATCTATAAGTGATGACTATATGCAGCTGCTCCACAAGAGGGAGCTCTGCCTTTTTTTAACTTGCTGCTGTATCAATGAGCCAATGTTTAGGCAGTTTGTAGTATAGACTAGATGAGCCTGAGAATTTAAATCCAACTCTCCTTTCAGATTCAGCAAATAGTGGAAGGAAAACTCTTCCCGATGAAGGCCCTGGGCTATTTTGCAGTGGTGACAGGAAAAGGTAACATCTGTTGCTGAGTAATCCATTTTAAATGATTTAAGAAGGCTTTCAGATCATGATCAAGTCCCAATTCTCAAACTTTGTTTCATGACACGAATCAGGGAGCTAGTCAAAGATTCTTTGTGATTTTTTTTTTTCATCATATTGCCATTTGCAGACATTTTTGAAGGGATACAAGGAAGTTTTTGCATTGTATAGGTAGCACTTATAATTACAGAAATGTGGCTATTATTGTTCTGTTTAAAATCCAGTATTACCTGAGCTACCCTTTACTCACACCATGTTCTGCTGTTTGTGTGCAGGGAGCAGTGGTGAAAGCATAGACTCCATTAAAGAGTATGAAGAGGACTTCTTCCAGAACTCTAGGTTACTAAGGCAAGTTGGACCTGATTTCACTGAACTTAATGCTACATTGCATAACTTATTTTAAAGTTGGCAATTAATGTATGTGATGTTGCCAGGGATGGCATGTTGAAGGCCCACCAGGTGACCACAAAGAACCTGAGTCTGGCCGTCTCTGACTGCTTCTGGAAGATGGTTAGGGAGTCTGTTGAGCAGCAGGCTGATGTCTTCAAAGGTAAGCCTGAAGTTGCTGCACTTGTTATTGGCACCATTTAAAAATGCTCCTTACATAGCCAGGCATGTTTTATAGTGTTAATGGAGAATGTAGGATTTTACTCATTAACTGTGATATATGTTAGCACCTGCCTCTATCATTATGCTGCATAGGGAACAGGTGCTACTACTTCTCTGCTGTTCGCTCCTCCACCTCCTTATGTTGGCCTTACTCAGCCCACCCTGCCATGCTTTCCCACTCTCCCCAGTCCTGCCTTTCACCTATAATTAGTCTAGACAATCACCAGCCCATTGCTAACAGAACAGGAGATTTATGGCTGTGAGACTGCAGTTCCCTTAGGCCCATTGTGTGGTGTATTGATCCATAGCCCATCAAATCACACATAGTTGGCCTCCATCCTCCATGCTTGGCGCCACCATGGCCCCACAAACCAACAATTAGTCAATTATGTGTGTTTGTATGTGTGACTTTGTCTCTGTTTCTATCTCCGTGTGCGTATGTGAGATCTAAAGCTCTTAACTTTTGATGAAGAGTATGCAGTTGGCCCCATCCTCTTCTCTCATAAAGGACAAGTTAAGCAAGTGTGCTAAGTCCTCACCCATTAGCAGTCTGAAAGCTGCCTGTATGTCATACCAAGCTAAAACAAAGCAGGCCCTGTCCCTGTATTCTCATTACCTGTTTTATAGAGAATTGGTATTTGTTGGAGCATAACATCAAAGATAAAAAAATAAAACGACGGAGATTACTTTGATCCAGGCATAATGATGAACACCTGGCAAATAACACATTAGATTTATTAAGAAATTTCAAATTGTTTCTAATAAGGCTTTATGTTGGAACCACTTATATTCAATTATAATGCCACTTATTTTAAGTGTTCAAGATTATACATGTTGATGTAGAAAAGATGTTAAAATCAAAAATCATTGTCACTGCCCCTCCTCACCCCAGCGTCCCGCTTCAACCTGGAGACTGAGTGGAAGAACAACTATCCTCGCCTGAGAGAGCTGGACAGGGTGAGAAGCACTAACAGCAATGCACTTGCATGAATATTAAGACAGGAGAAAAAGAGCTATCTTCATTAGCTGTTGTGTTAAAACGTGCACTATCTATTGACAGCTGGTAACAGATAGGTTTGTCTTAAATGGTGTTCATGAAGAAACAAAATGTTCATGTTTAATATTAACAAACAGATGGATTATTTTGTGTTTTTTGCAGAATGAACTGTTTGAAAAAGCCAAAAATGAAATCTTAGATGAAGTCATCAGTTTGAGTCAAGTGACCCCCCAGCACTGGTAAGTTTATGATGAATTGCAGTGTAGACTAAAAAGTCTAATGTTTTGTACTCTACTTAAACCATTCTCTTAACAGATTAGGGTTTCCAACTTTTATATGCAGTATTTCCAGTGTAAATATAGACCAGCATTTATTGTCACTATGACTGTTTCCACTATGTGCAGAACATTGCTCACACTGTGAGGACTGTGTCAATTTGCCTACCTGGTCTTTACCTGAAGTCATTTAGATCATGTATATGCAGCTGCTCAGCACTCAACCAGACATTGGTGGAAAGCTGTTTTAGAGCATACTGAAGGTCTTCTCTGAATTCATTTTCCTGTGTTTGAATGTACAGTTATACCTCTCTCCCACGAGGAAAACCTTGCTAAATGAGATATACAGTATGCGTGTTGTTGTAGCTGTCCCCAGTGTGCGTGCCATCAATTTTCTCACATCAATACTGTGATAAATGGCCCATAGACAGAACAGGGGGTGGCCCTGTTAGCCAGCCAGCAGCCAGCCAGCACTATTGGAGATAGCACTTATTGACAGTGAGGAGTGCTAGCCTGAACAAAAGGGATGCGTAATGAAATATGAGCGTGTGTTTATGATAAATGAGAGAGGTGCAACACTGCTCTTTTCTCAAGGGAACTTGGAGAGGGTTTTGTTTCACTGTCATGTTGCCGTGGAGAGAGAAAGTGAGAGTTGGGAGGCTGTTAGCTGCTAACAATGTCATAGTGAAGCTGTATTTGAATCTAAAATCAAGTGAATCGCAATAGCACTGACTACACAAGTGAAAGCAGTTCATCCAAGAATGATCTCTCTTCATTTACTGTTTCTTGGTCACTTTACTGAACTGATTTGGACACTTAATTCCAGCTTTGTTCAAAACAGTGTTGCTTGTTAGATCCATCTTGTATCTGAACTGAAAAATAATAACCTCTATCTAAATAAGATCTAAACTTGTATGTGTGGTAATGTCACATTCAGCATGTTACTAGAACACAGTTCCAACATCCAGCTCCAGACTGAGGTCCATCATCATCATAAATGTCTCTGGAAATTGGCACGAGCTATCCTTTACCCTTACAGGGAGGCCATCCTGCAGAAGAAGCTGTGGGAACGTGTTTCCACCCATGTGATTGAAAACATCTACCTGCCTGCTGCCCAAACAACAGACTCTGGTACTTTTAACACCACTGTAGACATAAAGCTCAAGCAGTGGACCGACAAGCAGCTTCCACACAAAGCACTGGAGGTAAAGCAGACTCAGTCTAGTCCTATTATAATTAAGATTGTTACATGACTCCAGGTTTGCATGAGTTTGTTCTTGTTATTGTATTTGATTTATTTATTCTTTCAAGCATGTAAAGACAGTTGATATATCAACACACATAATTTTACACATATCCAACAAATGCTAATCCAATATCAATTTGCTTATACCTAGTACATGCTTGAATGGAGTAGGAAGAAGTCAGACTTATCCAGTCCTACCCCATGACATCATCTTACCATCATTGGTTTACAAGCAGTATCTCTACATAAATAATTCTCTTCTACACCACACAAGTAATATACTAAAAAAATTATAACAGAGTGTTAACATTCTTACATAATTACATTCTTAAATAATTATCTTCTACACCACACAAGTAATATACTAAAGAATTATTACAAAGTGTTAACATTCATACACCACACCCACAATGTTCCATCTAATTAATCATTAAGCCTGTTCTTGCATATATCCTGATTGACACATACCTTTATATTTATGTTTAAACTCATCAATTCTAGTACTATTTTTT